AAATCACACAAAGCCAGACAGAGAACGTGGGCGGGGTGGGGTGGATGGGGGGTGGGATTAATTGCTTTTTTAAGGAAGTTGGACAAGGTTAAAAAAACACTGCCATAAACAGATGTACACATATCTGATTTGGGCCTTGTTTTCCCCGCTGCCTTTCCTGCCCAAGCTCATTTCATTCCACCCAATGGCTCATTCTGAGTTTTGGAACTGGATGACAAGCACAGCCATCGAGACAACGGTGGGAGAGTCTCCCACTCTTAAGCAGCTTTTGCTTTCTGTTATAAATGCCACGAGGAGAATAGGTTTTCTCCAACAAGCAAATTACAGCTTTTTTTCAGTGCTACAGATAACACGATTGCCACTAGATCAATTTGCTCATCTTGATACTGTAAGTCAAGGCCATCGACCATACTGCTGGGCTGTGATGCAAACCGAAGCCCAATGGATCTGGAGGGCACCAGGTTGGAGAAAGCTGCAACAGAGCAAGGTTAACTGAGATGGGAGGCAGCAATGCATAAGGAATAATCCAGCTTCTTTCCAGAGTATCATCTGGCCGGGCCGCATTGGGACAAAAGGAGGGTGGGAAAAAGCAGGTCTCACTCTCTGGTTCTAGGAAGCAGCTTTGAACTGAATCCATGCCGGTGAAACCTGATCTGGAGGAGAAAGTCCGTGATCGCCCACTCACAGATGCTGCAGAATTGCAGTGTGGAACCAGGATCCAGCAGGGGCAGGAGGGGAGGACACAGCTTCAGCCACAATGGCACCCCTTTGAGGTTGAAAGCAGCCGCCGCAGTGGCGAAGCAGGATTTTCAAGCAGAGGCAGAGGCAGCATTTGCTCCAGTAAGAACCACCATGTGTCCCATGATAGCTAAATAGGAGCTAAGCAAGTGCACAGGTGAACCTGGCCTGCATCTGTCTGAAAGCGTGAACCCACGCTGAGTCAACCCAGCGGCCAAATTGACCCAAGCCAACGTGGGTCAGTTTATTTAGCAGCACTTGATACGTGCTCACCTTTGTGGTTCATGGCTGAGGTGGCTGTGCAAAGCAGGCCACTTAAGTTTTAGCAAACCATGGTTAGACTAGTGGCTTATTGAATGGTGGAATGCAGCCAGCATTTGTCCTGGTTAGACCTGAGTTCCAGCATCAAAGAATAAGCATTTCTGCCATAGAAACACCTCTTGTCCGAAAGGTCATTCCATGCCAGTAATTCTTCTTCTTGCAGCTCCACCATCCATCAAACCCCTGGAGGTCTCTTGCTGCCTCAACAAACACCCCCATGCCCAGAACCCCCTTCCAGACGCATCTGAATTGTGTAATTTCTCCCATCCCATTCTTTTTCTCCAGACCAACTTTTTCAAAAAAGCCCTCAGGGGTTACTCCAGCCCTCAGCCCAAACGTGGAAAGTAAAGACAGGGTGGAAATACTTTAATAAATAAAACATCCAGCACTATCAATGCATTTTAACAACTGTCAAGGACAGAACTGTGAAAACATCAGCAGCAACAAAATAACTGGTAATGACCGAAATCGTAATAAATTACAAGAAAATAAAGATTCAAGGCAGACGTTTCTTGTCTTTTTGTGGAAGGATTTCAAATTCATCAATTAGCTCATCTGCTCTCTTCTGCAAAATGGAACACAAGAATTACATGGATCTGTGCCCCAACTAAGATACCACCTTTTCTGCTACCCTGCAAAGCATCCCAAAGAAAAGAAAAGGAAAAAAAAAATCTACGTTCTGCCGGGTTCATATCAAAAAAAACATCCTGATGGAAAGAAGAGACCAGAACAACTCCTCTGTCTCTAAGGTGGACAATGCCGTCACCAGCTTCTCCTGATGTTCTTGGAGTCTGGAAGTTGAAAGCCAAAGTTGTCCCCCTGACATGGCCAGAGGGCTGGTAGCCCTTTCACCCAGCTTGTGTGAGCTTCTCCACGCCTCCGAGGTCACGGCATCAGCTCCTCATGAATTGGATTCCCCCTGGGATGTTCCTGGAGAAAAGCGTTCGCTTGGAGTCTCCACCAGGTACCTGTAGGACAGCCCCACCATAATCTGTAGGGAAAAGAAGAATAGGGATCACACCGGGGAGGTGTAGCAAGGGAGAGATTTAGCTACAGAAAGACGGAAGGAGAGCAGATCCGAATTTGTCTCCAGTAACGATTTATCTCACTAGAGCCGGGACCAGAGGGCATGGGCACCGCTCACGACTGGTCCCCATCGGCCAGACTGGCTGGGGCTGGAAGAGGCTGTCATCTAGCAAGATCTAGGCAGTGTTCTCACAATGCACTTAGCCAAATCAGATGAAGCCATCACAGCTGCGTTTGCCCCTGGAGTTTCTTGAGTGAAAGGTGTCTATGAGGGTCATCGGTGGTTAAGATACACAAGTTAGGACACAGCTGCCAGGTGAAAGATCATTTTGGCAGCCATTCTCTGCCTTCCCTTGGGCACACCGATCCAGTCAGTTCAAAGAGAAACAAGTCTGGGAGATGGAATTTAGGAGGCCCTGCTCTGGAAGTGGCCAGCTCAACTCCAGCTCTAGGATAAGTCACAAGGAACATCTGTGGTGGACTGGGCTAAGGGTAAGTAATGGGGCATTCTCTAATACCCTCCCCGCTAGTTGACCACCATGCTTGCTGCACCTTCTGGGAGCTGTAATGCAAAAAAATAAAAAATGGGAAGAGCCCACGGTTTAGACCTGGGGTGGAAATCCACCATGCATGGAAATAGGGGTGCACTCTCTAGTTTTGCCCATTGATTATGCCTTGCAATCCACATTCCAGTCTGTCAGCATTGTGAGGTAGTCCAGACAAGAAGCACACCCAAGAGTACTAGCTATGATTTTACTGTAAAGTTACATTAAAAGAATCTTGTAAGTCTGAAAGTACATCTCTCCCCACTGGCCTTTACAGTCCAAGAAACTAGGGAGGGTCCCTTCTGAGACATTTGCCACGCCCCCATTCCTTCTGCGGGCTCAGCTGCCTCTTATCTGGCTGTTGCCTGGTCTGCAGCTCTTCCTCCTGTCTCCCAAGGTCATTCCCATATATCATTACATGGTACCACTATCAGGGCTCTGTAGCACTTTGGATTTGAAGACAGAAAGGTGCTCAGGAGTTTCAGGGGAAACTCAGGTAGCACTTGTCTGCAACTCCTTAGAAGATCTGCATCTTTCCCTTGGATTGCATGGCTACCCCATTTGAAATAAACAGAGGTACTCTATGCGTGTCCATACACACTCCAAAGCACCTTTTTGCCTTTGCCTCTTAAGCATTGCCTAGTCCCAACGATTATCTGTAAATAGCTTTTTAAATTGTAGTATGATCGTGAACATATTTGCCTGTATCCTGTATTTCTCAGATTTCACTTCCCTATTTTTTTTCCACAGCTGCTTCTCAAGACTTGGGGAAACCCAGAAAGATCCCCTTCTCAGAACACAGAAGCTTACAGGCACAAGAAATCTGGGACCTTGGAGTTTCACTTCAACATAGGAAGTTATGGCTGGAGAAAGAGGAAGAAAACTGGCCTTTGCACACTCACCATCAATAGACTCAGGAGGCCCATCATCACACCTAGCATGATGTACAGATTATCCGTCAACCCTCCAGCCCACAAAGGCCCAAGGATGGTGGCAATTCCCCCGACAGAGCGACGGAGCCCCTGGCTGAACCCTGCCAAAGAAGAAAGGATGAGGGAGAAATCAGTCCTGTTATATTTATTTTATTTATTTTTATTTTATTTATTTAATTTGTCCCCGCCCATCTCCCCACAATGGGGGACTCTGGGCAG